CAAAACCTAGGCACACAATTGCCGTAACACTGAGCAGGTCAATGTTGATGTCATCACTTCCAACTGGTTCCTTCCCTTGGCAAAGTCCACCTGCGTCGCTGCGGGCCCAGGAACCAGTTGTCTCGGAAGGAAGTCAACCGGTCTATCTGCCATCCTTCTAATTAAAACTACATCACATTAATTTGCAAATTTGTCACAGGTCGGGAAACATGCAATTTTTATAATTTTACCTTGGTGTTGACCGAACAGCCAGCAAGGTTAAGCTGCTTGTTGAATAGTTGAATTTTGTAACTTAAACAACGTGATGCGATTGGTCATTGGTCTCGTAGCTGTTTGAGAGTGCAATTTATTTTGTAACGTTGAAACGTTGTCCAATCCAGTTTCAAAATCGTTATTTTACGCTGAAGATACCGTCGGTGTATATGAACAAAAGATTAATGGATTGAATAGAGAGTAATAAAAAAACTGCATGACTTTCTAGTGACTCTTCGGAACCATTTATTTTAACCAAGGTCATAGGACTTTACTTGAAACTGAACCGGGAACATATTGGTTATACGAAAAGGTAAACTCACTCATAACGTATTTACAGAATAGTGTTCCGTTACCAAGCCAGAGCTCCTGATTGTGTAGTCAAGCAGTTTCACTCAAACCCTTGAATGAAGGTTAAGGGCAGCCATTCACAATTTGACCTGTCAGAATCCCATAGCCACATCAATGTGGCGAGAACTATTGAACTATTGTTGTACTTTTCCCGATCAGCTGTTCCCGATCAGCTGTTCCCGATCAGCTGTTCCCGATCAGCTGTTCCCGATCAGCTGTTCCTACGTTGGTCGGAAGCTGAGCTGTGGTGGTCCCTGACGATGTCTAATCGCCGAAAGATTTGTAGGACTCAAGACACCACCATCAATCACAGTTATAGCTCCCTCGCTACCGACAAACTATTAATTACACGCCAAAGATGGCCGCTGATTCGCATCGCTCGCACCAATTAGACAGTTATTTATTCACGGATATGATTGTTTTATTGTCGGCGGCCCGTTAGCTCCTATACAAATGGCGGTGTAGTTACAGAACCGCCCGTCATCCGGTGTTCATCAGCTGTTATTTACCCGCCAAAGAGTGCCGCTGGAGTGTATTTGGCGGGAGTTGTGGTTTGTTCGTTCAGTACTGTATTAACATTGATGGTTCAGTTTGCCGCTAAGGAATGGAGTAAAAAAATGGTTAATTGTATTTTAACAAAACAGTAAAAAATATGACAAGCTAACCTGACTTAATATTACACTTTCATTTGAGCAATCGATACAAAAATAAATAAATATATAAACCAAAAACTTTACAAGATCCATATAGTGAGTCTTGAAAGGTAATAGTTGAACATGGATTGTCGATTGTTTGTACAGTCTATATTGAATATTGCTACATTACTTTAAAAATAAATTTATACTTTTTAACGGTTCACATGCATGAGGGTAGACGATTAAAACATTTCACTTGTCTTCGTAAATCATTTTCTACAAGTTATATAAAATTAATTATATCAATTACAATTTTAATCTACCCCTATTTTTCAAATTTGGTCAAACCCACATCAACATAAATCTTGTAATAACATGAGTAACTTTCGAAAATATCCCCAGCTGCTCTTTTGGCTATTGACCAATTTCAAAACAAAGTAGAAAACACCCGCAGGACAAACTGGTTTGAAGTTCCAATCGTTTACCCTCATCTTCAGCGGAAATAATTGTAATACATCGCAATTGTCATTCTAGTAATTGTGGTACGTATAATATGTCCTTTAAAATGATCAAAGATTGTTAAAATCCATTGTTGAATTAAGTTTTCAACAGTGGTTACATAATTTGTTTGGTACAATAATACTATTTAAATTAGCTTAAAGCACGATGCAGGGAGAAGATAAAAGGTTTAATTAATTAAAAGGACAAAGCGTGATTTTTTTCCTTGCTCCGATTCAAATCTTGTCTTCACTTCGTTGAGATAGTTTTGACCTCTAATTACTGAAGGTCTCTGTAATTATGCATGACCTGTGTCATGTAATGTAGTAAAGTAACATTCTAAAATGAAATCCTCCGGTCAAAACGTTGGAGAAAATTCATAACGGACATCACAACCTAATCACCAATTTATAAATAGAACAACCGTTGAAACAAACCGTTACCGAGAGAAAATTACCCTCCAATCCGGAAGAGCTGAGATTATCTAAAAAATATTAAAAGAGGAAACTCGTACGAAGACCGAATGTGAAAACATAATTGGCGCTGAGTACGAGTAGTTTTTACTCGGTGCGGGCAATTATGAAGCGGTTGTCATTAGAAGACATTAGTACAAGGACAATTAGACCAGACTAACGACAGCTAATCGTCAAGTCGGACTGACGTCTAAACGACGTGCAATGATGTCAATTGCACCTTCTGATTGAATTTATTGCATTGTCGGTCTCTTTATTAGATCTATCATTGATTTCAGCGTAACGACTTTCTAATTCTGGATAGAGCAAGTCTCGTCTTAATGAGCTGCAGTGTCCTGTTCTGATCGTTAAGAAGTGTGGTCGAGTAATCTGCGGTGGTTTATATTATACAAAAGATACTGTACTTTTAGCGGATAATTTTCAAGGGATCATTATGAATATGGTGAATTCCAATTCGTTACCACTTATTGGGAGAATATTCAGTTTTCATCTTTAGATGAATTTTGGTCACTAAATTCTTTATTCTTTGCAGTTTAAAAACCACCAACCTTGACATTTCACATGATTTTTACAACACAACCCCTTCTTTATTTCCAATTTCTTGTTGAGCATGCCTACTTCTTCTAATAAACCAACATCAAATAATTTTGAAATATAAAAAAAAAAACAATTCTCTATGTTCATAGAATTCATAATTAGTTTAGGTCTTAAGTAGTTTTCAACAGCCCTATCTCTCAATCCTTCCACTTAATTCCTTTTGAAAAGTATACACACCGTGAATTGTTGATTCAATTAAATTATACTTCTTCTAATATCTTTTTGTCTCCAAGTTCGTTAAGAAAAGTCAGTTCCTTATGTTGCTTAAAATTTGACTTTGTTAAGACAACAAAAAGTTAAACCCAGCTATAATTATCGTCATTGGGGTTTATATAAATAAACTGATATAGAAAAAGATCAGTCACTAATGACGTTGTATAGGTAATCCCACTACATTTTGCTCTCTCGCTACATTCATGTTCACTTTTAGGACAAACTGTACAAAGTACATTGATTTAAGATCAGGAAGAGCAGAGGTAAACGTAATTTCAACTAATAAGTGGCCAAACCAAAACTTATTATTCAATTCTCCGATTTTCTTGAAATCTTCTTTGTGAAAGCATAGCTTGTTCCCAAAGATCTGTCAGAATATCAGATGGAGCAGATATTTGCAGCAAATGTAAATCAAACTCATTGTCAGATTCAATCAAACAATGACCACACATCAACTTAGCAGGCTGGTATCACATTTGTATGGTAAAAAAGCCATCAGTAGCTGTTTAGGATTTGTCAAAAGACCACAAATCTGGGAGTTAAACGTGTTCCCAACCCATTGTAAACGTAAATTAATCAACATCCAAACTCCCACTGATACGTTTTATCATTCAAAGAAACCCAGTACAACATAATTTCCAGAGCATCAAAGATAGCAAGTAAACGTAAATCCAATCCATTCTCAACTTGATGGAAACAGTGCCCAAACACCAACCGAACAATTACCCTATTCACATGATTAACAACGCCAGAAGCTGAGTGTTCTCATAGATTTGTCAGCTCAGTGAGTGGCTAGTGACAGCCCGACTGAGTGTTGCAACCTAAACTCCAATTAGAACTAATTGTCAGAAGGGCAGGGATTAGTCGATTAGTCGGCGATTGGGGCAGTAGATGATTTACAGACAACATGGCTGCCCCACTGTTGGGTGACGACGGGTTACCTGCAGTATTCGGCTTGTCAATGACATGAGTCGGTGCTTGTTGATATCAATAGCTCCGGTGAAAATTGATAGCGGCAATATCTTAATGTGATCAAACGAATGAAAAAATTGTCTTTGCTATCAAGCTGTACTTGGTGTATTCCTGTGTTGTATAGAATTACTCTTCATGGTATAAATAGTCAGTAAAAGCCACTTAAAAATATAATTTTAATCTATTCAAAATGAAGCACAGTGTGGCTTCTGCCTTTCAACTCATATGAATTTAAGAACTTCGGTGGTGTTTGGAAGTTCGTTGTACATTGCAGGATGGAAATACTTGAATGTCCTTTTCTTATCCTCTTGATGAGCCATTAGGGGAAAATAACACGCTATTTAACATTGAGAGCAGTGTACCATACTCTTGACATGGCACCTCTGGCAAGCAATGCAGAAAGTCAATTTCAAAGGCAGCACGTGTTCACGATCGCTCAGGCAGAAAATAAATCAGTATATTATCTAGCGATTGACTGATTAATAGCTCAAGATTATGCCAATTGCAATCTGTACAGGGTTAATAATATTACTATTTAAATTTACAGACTTTAGCTGCTTTCGAAGTCAAGAAATATCTTCCTATCCTATTCCATAATGGATATATTTATAAACTGTACCAACTCAACAACAGCGTTATGATTGTCACTCTTAACCACCTTATCTTAGTACTCAAATGTTGTCATCTCCAATCGTATGACATTTCAAACCCTCATATAAAGCTCTCAAACTTTCTTCACTGGCATTGCCTTTTAGTTAAAAGGTAATGCCAGTGAAGAAAGTTTGAGAGTTAACCCACCACACAAAAATCTTTCTCTCTTTCATGCTCATTTTCACCATAGCATACATTTCTCCAACAAATCCACCTAGCAAATGATTCCATCCTAAATGTTTCCCTCCTCTTCGTCCTTGAACCAACTCATCCGTTGAGGTTACCTTCTTCATCCCACTAACCTCTTCATAAACTCCCAAATATTTAGCACTGTCTTAACAAGACCCGTATGTTGCAGGGAGGAACTAGCGATGAAGATAGGGCTGACGGAGGCCAGGATCCAAGTAAGTCCTACATTACACTAATTGATACTGGTACAGTCCCTAATGGCGGCCTAATTAGCCCGTCAGGATGTGGCAAATTGATACTTGCGCCCTCGTCCGGTCCTGTCCTTTTTCGTACTGTGTAATGTTAATTAATCGCACTCATTACTATATTCAGACAGACCTTGGCTTGGTGGCACTCCTTGGTCACTGATGTTTATCATGGCGTTGATTCCTCTGTTTAAAAATTTGAAATATTTTCCGGCTAGCGTTGATCACATTACTTTGGTAAATACGCGTTGATGGTTGTAATTTAATTTTGATGCAGTCTTTATTCACACAAGATTGAGATTGTGACCGGTAATCCTGCTGTTTGTGTTCCAAAAATATTAGTAAAATAATTATTGTGAATGCTAGATGAAATTAGATTACCTCACTACCTCATCATTTGCTCTGAGCCTCTATAATACTGCAGAAACTTTGTATAAGAAGACATTGCGTAATATTGGAATTAGAGTCATTAGCATTCCAAACAACTGCTTCTGAAGAAGCAATTCTTTATAATTTGTTGATTGACATTTAACTGCACCCATTACAAGTTAACCTTTTGTCGGATACAATTACTGTAATAATTTACTCATTACATGATAATCAATATTTTTCTTTTGTAGTAGAATAATGTACATATATCGATGTCTTTAGGTCAGCGCTCTTAAAAAAAGGATGTTTGTGTGATATTGCTTTGCATCGTTAAGAAATCATTTATTCGCTTGGGAAAATTAGTTTCTTATAAGTTTGTTTGTTATATTGTGCACAAATACTTAGCTTAAGTAGTAAATTATGTAAATTAAAATTGAGCGCAACAACAAACTTTACAAAATTTCATGTCTTAATTTTTAAGGTCCATATTTTAATTTGTATACACTGTTGCGATGCATAGTAGGAAAAGTATTTACGAGTAGATAGAACTTTTTTTGTTATAATATACACTTCTTCAACATTTAAATTTATAATCGTTATTATGGACAACCTACTGCAGCTATGAGTGGGAAAAATTCTTAGAAAACACTAAGAAACAAGATATTTATAAGAAATGTTGATTTATTCGGACTGTTATAACGTCGTGAGTATTTTAATAAAATTTGAGTCGACTCTTTTAAAGTCATCGGAAATTATGACTGTTATTCTGTCCTGCAAGTTCAACAAAACTTGCAGCATGTTCTTCACACGACCGCCACCTTGTCGAGCAAGAACAACCTCCAGGAAATGTTTACAGAGTTCTCAGGACTTTACTCAATTTCTGGATTTGTTTTCCGACGCAAAAACACTCCGATTATCGCCATACCGCGTTGCGTGCGTCGCTGGAACGTTGATGAACTTGACTAATTAGATTTGCCGTCCATCCGACGTCTGTGGTGGCAGCGACATGCCGAGAGGGAAAAACTTTTATTGGTGCGCTACTGTCAGGATTGCAGCGGGGTTCTTGTACTGTACTAGAACACTCGCCTTCAATGTCCTTGCTCAGAGTGATGCAACTTGTTGAAACGATCAAATGATAGCACTAGGCATTTCAACCTTCCATGTCCTTTCACTAAGAAACTCATCTTTTAATGTAAGTGATCATTTATAAGTGAAGTGGTATTGAGGGATCACCCTTGAAACAATAAAATGATGCAGCATGAAGATCAAGTTTCTATGTCCTTGCTCACATAAGTGATCAAACTTCTTGAAATTAGCCCTAGTCTACTCACTTGTCAGCGTCCTTGCTAAAAAGTGATCTCAATCCAAACGGTAGCATTATTTGGTAGCTGAGTGGTTAGTGCTCGTATAGTGACCAGATTTGCACGGTTCAGGTAAAATATTATTTTGATAGTTTTAATCTGGACATAGCTGCTCTTGATCATCGAGATTTTATAAATTACCCTGGCTAAAAGCCATCGTTGTCATCAAGAGAGCATCTCTCTTCACTCTTAAATACATCGTTATACATACCCTCCATATTCAAATTGTACTTACATCAAGATAGCATTATACAAACTAGTGGATCAAAAGATTTGTTAGAAGATCAGGGAAAGGAGAGGAAAATAGTCAATCCCATCAACTTAGACCAACCAAGGTCCAAACGGAAACTTGAACCAGCCGTTCTTGGTGGGTTTTCAATAATAATTGGCACTGGCTAAAGAAACAGGCGATCTTAGGTCGTCATGACGCTACACATTTCATCTCACTATATTACACACTCTGCATTCATACTTGGCTAAAAAATACACTAAATACGCTACTGAATTGACGAAGTTGGTGTGGGAAAATTTAGTACAAATCCGCCTCCAGACTTCTGTCTACCGTACTCTCGACCGCAATACCATTGAACCCGGACAACAGTAATCTAAGCAATAAAATTCCGGACCAGAAGTGAGTGTTTTTGACAGGAGTTGTAGCTAGTCTACCTACCACGCGCACCCACATTAGGCTCTCTTCGGGTTTAATTGATTTGATATGTGTTTCCGAGTTAATGGGTTAGCGTGCATTAGTAATCTGGCCCCACTCCGGCTCTGATAGGCGGCGCCGGCGCTCAGCGCTCAGTCTAGCGCCGTCGTGGTCCGTGGTCGCTGAAACTTGGACAGCTGTTGACGTAAACAACTGTTGGAGGAGATAATATTTTACTTAAGTGAACACAAACTCTTGCAACCCATCTTGTAGGATTTAAATCGCATTAGTTCATCACTAGGAGCGAAAGTGGCTATTTTTGGTATACTTTTGTGTTTTACAAGCAAGGCACATCCTCGCTTGGAAATACGATCAAGTACCAAAAAAGACACTTTCGCTCCGTTTCAGGAACAACTATTTTCATCATTCTGCGGAAATAACCTTCTAATCCTTACAAAATTAGACCACATAATTTGGAGGTTATACAAAGTCACCATCGATGTTTACATTTCTGTTGTTTACAAACAAAACTTAAAAATAACGTGTGCTTAACAACATAATGTACCAAAAACCAATTTTCATTACACTGTCTCACGGATCGTTTTGAGTCCTTAAAGATAGCTTTTTGCGAACTAGTCCTTAAAACTTACGGATTCGAATCATATGGTTATGTCAAAGCTTATCTCATAAACAAATCAGCTGTTCTGATCCTTTAAAATGCTTCAACAATATATAAACAAACTTTGTTTATTTCTTACAAAACCTAATTTTAACCTAAATTAGGTTTTGGCAATATTATGTATTTTCTGCTATAATATATGACAATGTAATGAAAAATATTGTTTGTAACTCGTCCTAAAATGCTTTTTTGTGACTTAATCGAATTTCCGAAGCCTCGTCCGTTAAACACGATATCCTCCCAAAAAAACCTACTTTAGAGACAAGTAACTAAAACTACTATTTGATGTTAGCGAACAGAAAAAATTACCATATGTTTTTTCTGTTCCCTATTTGAAGTTACCCGAAAACTATGACTTTGTGGACGATTGAAAACTAAAAGCGGCTGCGTTTCGGACAGTATGATGAAAAATTCTGCTGATTTCTCATGCATGGGTTTCAAGGACCTTTTTAAACAGTATAAAGTAACTTTTTAGGTAAAGCAATGTATAATGTCTTCAATATTTTGTAATAAGAGCGTAACCAACAGATAATACTTTAATTCTTTGAGATTTATACTTCGGCACATTTTGTTCAACATTCTTATTTAAAGGATTTTTGGTAACATTTGCTACTAACTGAATTTTCAGTTTTAAAGAACTTTCGTGTAAAAAAGTTAAATACATTTTTCTATTAAATTTGTATTGACTTTCTCCACGCTGATGGTATTATTTTACGTTTCTTTAGGACAGTGTTCCTAACACCTATCTACTCGTTATCTCATGTCAACTATTAGCATAATTAATTGATATCCCAAAGAAATATAATCTGGATTTATAGTTGATCCCACTTCAGATCGGACAAGCAACCTTCACATTTCAAAGTGAGTACTAAAACCACTAGGCTACCCAGACAATTATTGCAGTTAGAAAAATGTTTGAAGAAACACTTGTTACAGCTCTTAAGTATCTACAAGGTTTTGGGGTTGTAGTTGAAGTTAGTAAAGAACAAAATAATTGGCAGATTACGTGAAATAAGGATTTTATTACATGTTAGCTAAAGCGTTGATTACTGCCCTATTTTTCTCTACGATTCCTCAGATGGTCTCCAAAGTTCTTGGCCATGGCCATTGCCCCTTCCCCGGGTGTTCTTGGACCATGGAAATTACCAAAACATTCACACGGCTCCACGAATGTTCCTGGAACCTCTGCCCCAGCGGCGGTGTTTATACAAGTAAATGGAGCCATTACACAATTACCTCCCAAGTAATATTGATTATCCTCATTTGATTTTTCGCATAGTCGTTAGGAAAAGATAATTGTATAATTTCTTAAATACGGACTACTGAGTTTTTTTTCTCGTCAAAAGACTGGGGGTTTTCACTTGGAGATCTAAGAATTTATAAGAATTTGTATATAGTGGTTATACTACGATGAAGACCGACAAGAATTTTAGACGTGTTACATTTTTGTTAGGTAGGTTAAAATGGATAAAATAGGTTAGGTCAGGTATTAAATCCAACTCTATACAACACAAAGGTGATGTTAGTTAATCAAAGTTTATGTTGCAATTTAATTACCAATGTTCATGGTATAGTTTGATACAAGTTTCTCACATTTTCCTGCTCTTTAAGGTTTAATTCCGATTTTCACAACAGTGTTGTGGAAGACTTTGCCTACTGTAACACTTGTCTTGAACTAATTGACCAACTCCTAGGTCATTATTGTCTCATTTGCCACCCAACCGTTCCAATACTCAATTGATCAACAGTTACCGGAGTAACGGCTCCATCAAAATCCCTAGTTCAGCCTCCAGGACAGCGACCTGGGAGACATATGGCGGCACCGGAAGTGGTTAGCAGTGGTCCCAAGGTGTCCTTGCAATCTTGTCCTCTAATCACCACTATCAGCCCGCGGACGTCCTCTATTGCATTAGAA